AGTTGCTGGCATTTTTACTCTAATCCTTACATAAAACGTTAAATAATTGACCAAAGATGTGATTTAAGAAAATGTTATTTAGCAATATTTCCTGACTCTGCTGCCCCCACGTGGTAAGAGGAGATCATAGCGGTTCCTAGTCTTGATGGCGGCCTCTGTGAACAGTACCAGGAGCCTCCTCTGCCCTTTAACTATTTTTTAAAACATGAAATTTAATTCTGTAGGGAGGATGTTCATATAGGTTTCTATCTTATTTTTGATGCATTTATTAGTCTTTTTCAAAATTTTTTGGAAGTTTTGAAACTTTTTGAAAGTAAGGAGTGCAGCAGGGCATGGTGGTGTACGGCTGTAATCCCAGCACTCAGTAGGCTGAGGCAGGAGGATCACTGCAAGTCCTAGGCCAGCCTGGGATACATAGTGAGTTCAAGGCCAGCCTGAACTGCAGAGCAAAGCCGTATCTTAAAAAGAAAAAAACAAAGTAGGGGGTACAGCTCAGTGGTAGAGCACTTGCCTATCCTGTAAGAGGACCTGGGTTTGACCCATAGCAACATAGCAACATAGCAACATACACATACACACACACAAACCCAGAGAGTCTAATTTTTTCAAAAGCTTTGTTTGCACTTTTTGCTTCTTTTTTTTCTTGTTCTCCTTCTCATTTGAATATTTTCTTCCCATTTCCCACTATCTATTACACATTCTGTTATTTACACTTTCTGTTTCCCACACCAGAGAAGCCATTTACACAACACTTACACACGCGTCTCTGATTTATTTCACTTAGGAGTGTGGTCTCAAGATGAATCCATTTAGCTAGAAATGTCGCAAGCTTATCTTCCCCTACGGGCAGAGTGGACTCCACGATAAAAACACCCACATCTTCTTCATCCATTCACTGACTGATGGACAATTCAACTGTGTTCAAGATTTGCCTACTACAAACTCTGCAGCTATAAACATGGATGTGCATGTATCACTGTGGTATGATGCTTTTACTTATTTGAGTAAGGTACCAAGACAGGGAATAGCTGGATTGAATGGAACCTCTAGGCCTACTTCTTTGAGGAATCTCTACACTGATTTCCACAGTGTTTGTACCAATCTATACTCCCTCCCACAGTGGAGAAGGTTCCTTTTTCTCCATAGTCCCACTAGAATTTGTTATTGGTTGATTTCTTGATAATTGTCATGTTTTCTAGTGTGAGATGAAATCTCAGCATTGTTTTAACTCTCTCGAATGACAAGTGATGTTGAACATTTTTTCATATATTTGTCTACCCTTTCTGCTTCTTCATCTGAGAGTGTCTGTTCATTTCAGATGCTCATTTTTGGATTGGGGCTTTACATTTGGGTAGGTCTGATTCTCTGAGGTTCTTTATGTATTCTAGATAGTAATCCTTTGTCTGAGGAACAGCTGGCAAATTTTTCCCACATCATAATTGTCTCTTCACTCTATTGGTGGTTTCTCTTGCTGTGTAAAACCTTAAATATGAGATCCCAGTTGTTGATTCTTTGTGATTGTTCCTGTGCGATTGGGGTTTTCTTTATAAAGCCTTTGCCTACATGAATATCTTCAAGAGTTCTACCTACTCTATCTTCCAGCAGATTTAATGTTTCTGTCTTAATATTTAAAGCTTTGGCAGTTTTTTGTTTGTTTGTTAGTTTGGTACCAGGAATTGAACTCAGGACCTTGCACTTGCCAGGCAGGTGCTTATGCTGCTGAGCTAAATGCCTGGCCCAATATTTAAAGCTTTGATCCAATTTGATTTTAGTTTACTGCATGGTGAAGGATATGATTGTCAGCATGTGGAAAACCAGTTTTTCTAGCACCATTTATTCAAGAGGTTATCTTTCCTCCAGTGAAGGTGTTTGACTCCTTTGTCAAAGAAAAGGTGGCCCAGTACATCTGGACTTGTTTCTGTATCTTCTAACCTATTCCACTCATCCTTGGGCCAGTGTTTTTGCAAGTACCATGCTGTTTTTATCACAATAAGTTTGTAGCATAACTTCAAGTCAGGGATTGTGATGCCCCCTGGCTTGCCTTTGTTGCTCAGAATTGCCTTTGCTATTCTAGGTCTCTTCTGATTCTAAATGAACTTTAGGATCATTTCCCTTAATTCTGTGAGGTATGGCGTTGGGATTTTGATCAGGATTGCATTAAATCTATACAATGGTTTTGTACCTATGGCCATTTTCACTATGAAGATTTTTCCTCCCCAAGAGCAAGGTATATCTTTCCTTTTTTTTTTTTAAACTGGGAATCAAACGTAGGGCCCTGTGCTTGCCAGACAAGTGCTGTGCCACTAGGTATAACCCCAGCCTTCCGTTTTCCGATATCCTCTTTGATCTCCTTTATCAGCATACCATAGTTTTCAATTTAGAGGTCTTTTACTTCCTGATGGAGACCACTAAGAAGCATCTCTGAGCAGGATTTAAATTGGCTTTCTATGTTTACCTGTTAGTCCGTCCAAGGCCTAGACTCCTTCTCTGGAGATGGGCAATGGATTCATAGTAAGTGAACCTCTGTGAATCACCCAGCTGAGGCCTGTAGTGGTCTGTGATGCTGTGACGCCACAAAGGACAAGACAAGGTGACAGCTGAGGACGCCTGGCTCCAACCCCAGCTAACTAGACAGAGACTGCAGCTGCAGGAATCTCTCTCCTGCCGGCGAAGATCCACCTAGAGATAAGATAGTCCTCCTAAAGTAAGACTTCATTACTTGGCGAAGTCCTTGAACAGACTCCCAAAGCCCTGCTCAGTTTCCCCATGTCTCCCACTCTAAGACTTTCTCTTGTTTGAAAACCAAATAAATATGCCCAAGAAGTTCCTTGTCCCAGTCTCAGAGCGTCTTGAATTCTGCTATGGAGTTTTGACCCTCTGGAGCCCTAAAATCTTACTATTTGTCTTTTTTATTTTATTTATTTGCTGTCCACTCCTTTGGGAGCTTGTGGGCCTCATCAGTCTGAGATAACTTGTTTCCTCAGATTGATTCATAGCTGTTTCATTTTTCTGGATGTTATTATGAAAGGCATTATTACTCTGATTTCTCTCATGGTGCGTTATTTCATTGTGTACAGGAAGGCTATTGCTTTTTGAGTATTGATGTTGTATCCAACTATGCTACTGAATTTGGTTTTTAAACCTGAAAGCCTTTTTGGTGGGGTTTTTGGGGTCCTGTGTGTACAGTATCATGTCATCCTCAAATAATGATAATTTAACTTCTTCTTTGCTGTCCTTATTTCTTTTATTTGTTTCTCTTGTTTAACTACTTTCAACCTAATTTTTTTTTTTTGTCTTTTTCATTTTTATCAGTACCAGGGATCAAACTCACGACTGCCTGCTTGCAAGGCAGGCACTTATGCCGCTGAGCTAAATCCCCAGCCCCTCAACCTAATTTTTAAAACACAGATACTATTAATGGGGCATTAATTTTTCCTGATTTTTTTTTCACCTATTGAAACAGATCTTGGAATGTAATACAGGCCAGCATTGCACTCACTATACAGTTCAGGCTGGCCTCAGACTTGTAGTGATTCTCTTTCCTCAGCCTCAGAAGTGCAGGGATTACTGGTGGGTGCACCATACCTGACAATGGAGGATTAATATTAAATATTTATTTAAATGTTTATGTCCTTTCTGGAGCCAGGGTTTCTTTCATGATATCAAGTGGAACAGGTCAGCTTTTGTGCAGGGTTTAGATAATTGTGCTCTGGTTTATGTGTGACACATTGACCCAGTTTTCCTGACATTTTGCTCAGTTTTTACACCACAAGTCCTGGGTGCTAGGAGCCCCTGAGTCCCAGGCAACCAGCGAAGGCGGTCACCATGGCAAATTCCTTCCCTGTGTGCCTCATTCTCCCGCCTCGTCTTCATCTGAGACAGCTGGATGCAGTCTGACCTCTGCATTTCAGACCTAAGGGCTTACAGCAATCAAGAGCTGGCACAGTGCAGCTCCCCAGGGGCCCTGATGCCAACACTGGAGGCTGCTGTGTGCCACCACCAGGTGCCACAGTTGCCAGTTGCTGCTCTGTGGGCTCCTGGTCTCTGGAGCTCTCAGGAATGCCAGCCCCCAGCATTCCAGGCTCTTTCTTGGAAAGCAACCATCCCATCGTCACTACTCAGGATAAGAGAATGGACTTAGAGGACCTGCCAAGCCCACACTGCTTGAGGAATAAAACATAAGCAGGGGCACAGGACCCCCAGGGGGGCTTTGCTGGAACATGACCCACTCTGCAGCAGGAAGTACCCGCCTGTATCAAGCTGGGAAGTGTGAGGTGAGCCCTGTTATATAGCAGATCAGGCCTGGGATTTGCCCACATTTGGGCCTGCTGATTGGTCCAAACTGGCCTGAACTGGCATCTTCCAATCGAAGCACACTGATTGGTCCAAATTTAATTCTCCTGCTTACTCTAAGCTTGAGCCTGCTTAGGTCAGGGCAGACACCTTGTAGACCAGGATGGGGCGTCCAGGACCAGAGCAGCTGTCACAGATGAGGTTCATGGAACACTTCATGATGCTGTGTGTTGGACAGCTGTCACATCTCCATGAAAACTGTCAGAACCAACCCAGGGAAACTTCAGGAGGGCACCCTGTGTTAGTCAGCGCTGCCTGGGGTTGAAGAGGTGGGGATATTGATGTGGCCCAAATGGCTCCCTGATGTCGCCCACTTTTGCCGAGAGGTGGCCACAGACTGCAAGGTCTGGAGAGGGGCAGGGGCACTGGCAGCTGGGCTGCACCTCGGGTGAGGGCTGCTGGAGCTGGGGAGGGAGGGCACTGAAGTCACGGAGGCCAGCTGTGCCAGTGCAGCCTTATGGGGAGGGGGACACTAAGGAGGATCAAAGGGAAGCATGAGGCAGACAAGTGACAGCCTTCCACTAACCACACGCCCTGTGGCAGACACGGGGAAGGGGACAGTCGGGTGCTGCTTGTCTGTCTCATCACAGGTCCCAGAGGAAGGGGAGAGACAAAGTAGAGGAAAGATGCGGGGCTTGCGGAGAGACTTTTATTTTTTTTTTAAATTTGGTACCAGGGATCAAACTCACGACCTTGCACTTGCCAGGCAGGCGCTTATGCCGCTGAGCTAAATCCCAGAGAAACCTTTCTTCTTTATGGAGGAGGTGCGATCGGCGCGGCCAGCCGGGCTCTGCTCCTAGTTGTTGGCTATGGTCTGTGGGAAGGCAGGCATGAGGCCGCAGAGGCGTGGTGAGGAGCACGGGCAGTGAAGCAGGGTGGAACTGGGCCCGGCCTCAGCTCTGCCACCCCACCAGCTGTGGGGCCCTCGGGGGCACTGGACCTCCCTGCGCCTCAGTTTCTTTACCCCTGAAGTAGGCATAGTGCCAGTGTTTTCCTCACGGGGTCCTCGATGGCGCTATGAACTCGTGTTCCCGTGTCAGTGCCCCGTGGTATTTGGTTTCTGTGGTGCCCTGGTGGCTGCACCCCGAGCTGTGTCCTCACCAGCCCTTTGGTACTACCTCATTTTTGGTTTTCAGCACCGCACACTAATCTCTGGGGCCTTTGGGTTGAGCGACTTCCCCAGCCCACCCCCACCTGGTCTTTCAGTTTTTGAGACAGGGGTCTATTAAGTTGCTAAATTGCCCAAGTTGGCCTCAAACTTAGGCTCCTCCTGCCTCAGCCTCCCAGGGTGCTGGGGTTGTAGGTGTGGACCACCATGCCCAGCTGTGGCACAGGTGTGAGCGGCCTGGAGAGCACGGTCACTGCCATTCTCATGAACCATCTTACTTGTCTTGGACTGACTGTCCCCAGTGAGGAACTAGTTCTATATTCTCACAGGGGCCTCCATGTCGCCATCACGGCTGTCACCACCTCTCATGGGTCTGGAGGCCCTGTGTCTGCTGACGAGGAAGACACACAGGAGCCACACAGTCACCCCTGATAACTAAGGAAGCTCAGCACTGGGGCTCACAGATCTGCCCAGAAGCCAGGGAGGTTCTCAGGTCCTGCAGAAAACACCTGCCCTCCAGAATGGCCTTGGGCACCTGCTCTGCCTGCAGGAGCCTCTGCCCTCCTCAGGGTCTGGGGCCCTCCCTGAAGCCCTCTGAGCTCACCTGCTTGATCCAGTCAGTGAAGGCTGAGACGCGGGTGAACACTGTGGGCTTCTGCAGAGTGTTGCAGCCCAGGGAAGAAACAAAGCTGGCCACACCGTGGACCTGCCAGATGCCCGCATTGGTCGGGCAGTTGAGGGGTCCTCCAGAGTCACCCTGGAATTGACAGACAGGTTGGAGGGCTTAGCTGGGTGTAGGGCTTAGTGTATTGGGTTTAAATTTCAGCAGTCTCTGGTGTCAGTGTCATGTTTTGTGATGGATCAAGAAAAAAATCCCTCTGAGAGTCTGTGTGGCTCACATGGGATGATGGTGATCCTAGTGCCCAGTGGGGAGAAAGTCACAAGAAATGGACCTACTGTGCCCGGTGCCACAGTTAATTACCAATGTCACTCACTGTTCAAACTCACAGTTCAAGGAGAATATTCTTACTTAATTGTCTCTCTCTTTTCTTTTTTTGTTTTGGTGCCGGAGATCAAACTCATGACCTTGAGCTTGCCAGGCAGGCCCTTAAGCCACTGAGCTAAATCCCCAGCCCTCTCTTTCTTTTCTTTTGTTCTATTTTCAGTGCTGAGGATTCAAACCCAGTGCTAGACAAGTGCTCTACCAATCAGCCACATCCTGAACCCTCTGAACCCTCTGAATGTTTGTTTGTTTGAGACAGGGTCTCATGTGTATTTCAGGTTGGCCCTGAAGTTACCATGTGGCCCAGCCTGGCCTTGAACTAGTGGCAATCCTCCTGCCAGAGTTTCTTGAGTGCTGGCATTATAGGCATGCACCACCATGCCTGGCTTTCTGAATGTGTAATTCTGGTTTTACAAAATGTAAATCGTGTGAACCACATGGACACGGTGTGACTTGGAGGTCAGAGGGCACCTTCCCTTGTTGTGTGGATGGAGATGACTGAGACCAGGGAGGGAAGTGACATCCCAGGGCAGGCAGCCTGTGAGCTGGAACTGGAATCCAAGTCCTGCCTACCAGACCTGGGTTCCCTGCTGAGGTCCCCCCATGTTCCGCCTGGAGGAAAACAAGGACAGCAGGGCTGCATGGGGCAGACTCACATTGCAGCCCGACTGCAGGTCCCCGCCAGCGCACACCATTGTTGCCTTCACAGTGGAGCCCCACCAGTCCTTCTGGGAGCAGTGCTTGTAGTCAACCATGGGCATCAGGGCCTGCTGCAGCTTGTTCGGCAGGGGCCCATTGGCTGTAGGAACAAGGGGCTCTGAGCAGGAGACAGGGGCTCAGGGAAGAAGCAACTGAGAGGGGACGCGGAGCAAACCCCACTCCTGGAACCAGGGGACCATATGCTGCTGCCTGGTCATCGAACACCAGACATAGTTCGGCTTTCCTCCCACGGCCCTGGGTTTGGCTTTTTGTCACAGTGTCTGGGCTTCTAGAGGGCTCTGCACGTACTGTAGAGACGGCCCCAGCCACTGATGTAGCAGGGCTCTCCATTGGGCAGGATGTCACCAGCAGGAGGGAGGCTGGCGACCTGGACAGCATTCCCCAGCTGGGCACTTCGAGAGAGCTTGATCAGGGCGATGTCATTGCTGTGACGAGGAAGAGTCACATGGAGCCTGGGCCTCCACTAGGCAGCTCCACATCTGGGGCCAGACCAGGCTACTGAGGCTCAGCTCCCCATCACCAACTATGAGAACTCTTTTTTTTTTTTTTTTTTTGCAACTGAACCCCAGTTTGAACTACACTCTCAGCTCTTTTCTTTTTCCACTTCCTTTTCTTTTGAGACAGGGTCTCACTAAATTGCTAAGATGCCCAGAGTAAATGCAAACTCAACCCTCCTGTCTCAGTGTGCCTTAGTGCTGTGATCACAGGCATGGGCCACAATAATGGCCAGGCCAAGTGGCTGTGGAAACTCCCCCACTCCTTCTCACACTGACCTTTGACCTTCATAATGGAGGGTTCCCCTGGGTGCTTAAATTCCCCCAGTGAGAGCCACTTGGAGAGCTCTGCATGCAGCAACTGCTGGGTCCTGCTCAGCCTTGCCAAGGCCCTGGGTCTCGACAAACCCTGAGAATCCAGGTAGCTAACAGGTTCCCAGGGTTGCTGGGATGCTGCTGCCCTGGGGCCACACTGTGAGCAACAGAACTCTGTCTTCACTGCCTGCTGATTCTGCAAGTCACTTCCCTGGGTCTGAGTTGTCTCTGCTCACCCAGGAGCCCCTGATGGGGCGGGGTCCTGCTCATCACAGCGCCTCAAGCCTACTCTGCTAGTCCAGGTCCACGCCCTCCTCTACCTGCTCCCCAGAGAAACTGCAGCACCCACACATTCAATTGTGCCTGCATCAAGGGCTTAAGACGGACCCCTTCACCCTCACAGCCAGCCCGGAAGACTTGCTTCATGGTCACGCCATGACAAATGGCAAAACTGCCACAGGGAAAGGTCACTCGGGAGTGGGCTCTCAGGCCAGTGCTCCTTCTGTTGCCCATGCTGCTGGGGCCAGAAGGCACCAGTGCACGTGGTCACAAGGAGGAACCTTGGAGCTGAAAGGGAGCAGGGGCCAGGGGGCTCCTGGATTCTTGGGGTAATTGGCCCTCCTTGGGTCCTGCTGTAGGAGGAGGAGTCACATGTCATGGTCCTTAAAGGCTCCCCATGCTCAAGCCTGAGTGGGCCTTTGCTGTGGGTTGGGGATCAGGCTCTCAGGGCTTGGAGGGACAAGTGGAGGTGCCCCTGGGGTGTGACCTGGGACCCCACTCACCCACAGGCCACACAGTTGCTGTTCCATTTCGGGTGCACAAAGAGGTCGCCCTTGTTGATGGGGATCACCTGCTCAGGTCCCTCCTTCACAGACCGGTCATACTCGCCCAGCACCACTTGATAGGTCAGAGAGCTCCTGTGGGTGGAAGCCAGGTGGGTCCAGGCCTGTGGCCAATTGGCTCCTCTCCTTCATCCACCCACATCCCAGCTGGCCAGGTCTCACCAGAGACAAGAGCTGGGAGGGCCCGGGGACCGGTGACTGAACTCACGAGATGCAGTGGCCTGCAGTCAGGACCCAGTTGGGGGCAATGAGGCTGCCACCGCAGGTGTGATGGTAGGCCCCATTCCTCTCATACTGCAAGGAGACCTGGTGGGCAGTGAGGAAAGGGGGCCTGAGTGTCCTGGGCCCCACAGCAGGGCCTGTCCGCCATGTCTTTATCCATGCTGGCCTGTGCAACTCTAAGGGCCCTGTTCCCGTGGAAAAGAATGGCACCCTCTGAAATGTGCAGTGCACAACCTATTTAACTGCTCATAGCCGTCCTGTCTCTCTGCACTGGGATCACATTCTGATTCACCAGAGCCCCCACACCCTACGCTCTACAACCTCTCTGTGGACTCCTGGACTCTCCCTCTAAGGTGTCCCCAACCATTCTTGAGAATCCTCAAGGTCTCTCTCAGGCTCTGCCATTCTTCTGGGCCTCACGTCCTTCAAGGCCTCCTGCATCTGCTGAAGCCCAACTCATCCTGAGTCTTATCTCTCTTCTCCTTCCCCACACATGTCATTTTGTAAAGATCCCTGCACAGCAAGGGTCGGCAGACACTCTCAGGGGGCCACATCTGGCCCATAGGAGTTGGTTTTGCTTTGCTTTGATTGTCTCCTATACTGGGGACTGAACCCAGGGCCTTTGCACTCACCGATGTCTGAGGCCCTTTATTTGAGTGCTGAGACACTGTCTCACTGAGTCACTTAATTAGTAGTGAAGATGGTTTGGAGTGGATGCAGGCGCATTCCTCTCCCGTGCCACAGCTGCTTTCAGGACATGGTGGTGTCAGTATGAGTTCCCGGTACAGATGGATGCCTTGTGTTTGGGAAGTTTACCCTGTGATCCTCTCAGGGTGGGGCTGCGTCCTCACCCAGGCAAAGCTTCCACCACCGTGGACATATCCTAGATCTCTGCCGTCTCCTGTGGCCACTGCCCTCACGTGGCTCTTGAGTATTTGAATGAGGCTGGCACTGAAGATCTGAAGTCTAACCTTCCTTCATTTAGATTAAACTGAGACAGCCCCTGTGGCTGGGGACGCTGTGATTGACAGCAGAGTGGGTGTAGCTCTCTGTGCTCCCCTCAATGCGCCCTGCAGAGCCCCGCACCCCCAGAGTACATGCCTGTAACGCCAGCTAGCAGGGAGGCTCAGGCACAGGATGGGAAGTCTACGCTTGCTGAGGGTGTGTTGTGAGACCGTGTTTCAAAGTTTCATTTTAAAAAAAATGTATGCTGTGTACCGTGGCCTATAACCCCACGACTTAGGAGGCAGAGGCAGGTGGATCACTGCTGCAAGTTTGAAGCCAGCCTTGGGCTGCATAGCAAGGTCAAGGCCAGTTTGAACTACATGGAGAGATCCTGTCCCAAAAACCAAAAATAAAGAAACTAATTAATTTAATTTAGTTAAACTTTTTTTCAATTAAAGTTTTTACCAAGCAGGCTCGGCAATGCATAGGGATGTGGCTCAGGTGGAACATTTGCTAGGAATACTCAAGGTCCTCGGTTTTGTTCTGAGCACCAATAAATCATGAACAAATGTAACCCTCATCTTTTTAGGTTCTTAGGCTTTAGAGCCCTGATGTAGAATTTGAGGAATCCAGAACCAAGTCCCTCGCCCTCTTCCTCCTCGAAGCTCACTATTACTGTGCCAGCCCTGTAAATCCTGCCCTCCCCACAGACTCCCTCCGCACTGCTGAGAGCCCAGCTCAGGCCCTAGGCTGAACGGACGAAGCCCCCAGGGGAAGCAGACTGTGCAGAGCTTTCTGGGCCTGGGGACGCCGGAGTGGGATATGGATAGGAAGCGCGTCCCATGGGGTCACCAGGCCTTGGTGGCCAGAGTGTGTGGAGGGCAGCAAGTACCTGGTCCAGCTCTTACCTGCCAGGGCCAGCTGTAGGGAACAGCGTCCTCACCATTGACCACGCGCCCAGAGGGGCTGTAGATGGTTCGGCCTGAGGCTAGAGGAGAGATCGGGTGACATTCAGCCAGAGATTGTCCAGAAGGAAGGAGAAGGCCAGTGTCCCATGCCCGGGGTGTGTAGACTCCTTTCCTTCACTGGAATGGGCATTTGGAACAGGGCAGGGCTTTCTGGAGTCCCAGGAGCCCAAGGTCTTCTTCCAAGCGACTGAGGACAGTGTCTGTAGGGCTTCCTCAAAAGTGGAAGCCACTGTCACAAAGACTGGGCACTTTAAAATAATCCTGCCTGGCCTTAGTGGCAGCCTGCCGCTTACTGAAGAACTCATTTCTTTACTGCTCTGAGGGTCAGTTTCCCCATCTGTAATAAGGGGATAATAACTCCTTGGCTTCTTGGCTGTGTGATGAAAACTAAATGAGCTAATCTAAGAAGGATCTGGCAGCATCCTGCCTGCCATACAAAGCACATCAGTGAGTGTTATAGTCAAACTGTAGGAGGGGACCATGAGCCCAAAAGGAAGACAGCAGAGAGAGAAAGAAAGGGCTGGGACATGCAGCCAGAGGATTGAGTGTGGGAAGAAGTTGGCATGGACCTTCCCACTGAAGGGCTAAGCACAGCACACGAGGTCTCTCATCCGCAAGATGGGCTCACTCCACAGCAGGCCCATGCAGCCCTGGGGTGCCCCCAGCTCTCCCCTGGCCTGCTCCATCCACTGCTCCTCCAGCCCCACTCCTGCTGTGACTCCACAATCATGCCCGGCACACACTGAGACTTCACCTGTGGAATGGGGTATCGGGTCTGTCTGGACCCTGGGCAGCTGAGGCACAGGAACCCCAGGCTGAGGCTGGCTCTTACCTAGGGCCACAAGCAGAAGGGAAGTCAGCAACCGGAGCATCGTGAGCTTTGAGATGATGGGAAAGCAACCCAGACCCAGGGTCTGATATAAGGCAGAGTGCAGAGGGAGGGGCTGGGCCGGGCACCATTCCCAACACAGGTGGCGGCATATCAGGGCCCCCAGGGCCCAAGGCCATGCTGCCTCCCTCTGTGCATGGAGGAGGAACAACCAATAGGAGGACCAGGTGACTGCACAGGTGGCACTGAGTAGCCTGCTGATAACCGAGAAACGGAAGACGCTTTGCGTCAGAACCTGCCAGGCTGCTTTGGAAAAGAACATGGGCCTTGAGGCTGGCCAGGCCTGGATTCAAATCCTGCCTCTGCCACATCCACACTCTGTGCCCCTAGGAAGGTAGATTAACCTGGTCTCCAATGGGTTTCATGTCCTCTGCCTTAATTAGCATAACTGTGCTGAGCACTTTCCCTGCCTACCTCAGGCTCTGTGCTGGGGCTCAGCTGGGAACAGGACCTGGTCTGGGTTCTCCGGGGACTTGGCTCGAGGGGCACAGAGAAAGATAAACCAGCCAAGATCCATGAGGCTGTTTCCAACTGTGGTGGCAGCAGATGCTGCAGCGAAGGAAACAGAGGTGATTGTGGTAGGGGTGGGAGAAACCCCTGTAGCTGCAGGCCTCAAAGGGATGTGAGACTGAAGGGGTGCATTTGACTAAGTCAGACTGCACAAGTAAAAGCAACACAGGAAGGGCCTGGTGGCAAAGCATGATGGGTGGAGGGATGAGTCGGGTAAGTGCCACGGTCTCAGGTGGAATGGACCTGGCTCCTTCAAAAACAGAGAGACCAGCGTGGGACCGCAGCGCAGCCCTGCAGCTGGAGACTCGTGTGGCCACAGCTGCACTGCGAGTGCCCACTGCTTGCAAAGCCGGCCGTGGAGTGCAGTGGGTGGGGATGAAGATGTCCACGCTGCCCACCCTCAGTCCCCAGAGACACGGAGGGCTCACGCTCCATCCATGAGTGGTTGGGGACCTGGAGTGTGCTCTCCTGATGGAATATTAATCAGCAGTCAAAACAAGCAAATCTCACAGACACCACTGTGATGTCGACACAGAACCTTTTCAGGACCTTCAAATCTTTCTCCAAACAACCAGCTCCCTGCTTCTGCCCCTAGAGGTTTGCCTTTTCCAGAGTTTGACATTCAAACGGAATCTCTCAGTGGACAGCAGGTCCCTTTAGCTTCTGGGTATCTTTCTGATTTATCCTTGTCAGATGTGGTGAGGAAGGGTTTAAGAGCATTATTGAAAATAGCTGTACCTTCCACTAACTAAAAGTGACTCGTGATTGGACAGTGCTGCGTTTTCACGGATAGGTAGTGAGAGGACTGAGGACTATGATTAATGTTATTCTGCTTCTCCTACCTGAAATTAGAGAAAGACAGACAGACAAACAGAGATTAGATTCTGGAGGACATCTTTGCAGATCAGAGGAGTGAGGAGTTGGGACTCTGTTCTAAGCATAAGGACCAAGGCATGGGTTTGTGGGGGGGTGACATAGAGGAGAAGGACCTGGAATCTCAAGTGTACTTTGAAGCAAGTTCTTCCTTGGCCCAGGTGTCATAGAGGAGAAGGACCTGGAATCTCAAGTGTACTTTGAAGCAAGTTCTTCCTTGGCCCAGGCGTGGTGGCACATGCCCATAACTCCAGGAATCTGGAGGCTGAGGCAGAAAGATCCCAAGTTGTCACACGGCAAGGGCCTGTCTCAAGAGACAAAACTAAACAAAACCGTTTCCTCCGCGGCCGGGTGCTGCAGCATGGTAGGGATGAGGAGGGCGAGGCTGACAGCTGGACCCCTTCAGTGACCCGGGCACAGAGCTAGGGGGGGGAGCTCCGCTTGAGTGGTGGAGGCGGCATCTGAGAGGGAAGGGCGGCATCAGGGTGACTTTGGAGGAGGAAGTGTCTGAGGTGTGTCTGTGGAGCAGGGAGCACAGTGCCTGGTGCTCTGTCCCTTGGCTGTGGAAGGCACTCAGGCCTTCCTCGCTGGCCGTGGGCAGCAGCCTCCTGGCCTGTCATGTTATGAGTGCCGCACAATTGCTGGGTGAGTGAAGGGCCCCACTGCTCAGGCTCCCCCAGAACACCTCGGCAGCCTCCCTCAGGTGCTGGGCTTCCTCCAGGTTCCTGTTGCCTGGAGGGCTCAAGTTGGGGATGATGCCTGGTGGACCCCTCATAGTGGAAGGTGGGCATATGGCCGGGTGGTTCGTGCTGAGGAATGGATCCCTCCGGCAACCCGGGAGGACATCTGCCCCTGCGCTAGTGTGGGCCAGGGAAGTGTGAGGACACGTGCAAAGCAGCTGTTAAAATCCTTCAAGTGGGATAAAAATAGCAGTACCCTCTCTTGCCCTCTTCCGGTGAGCCTGCTCAGGTTTATTTAGTCAGCTTTTGCACTAGGAGACTTTCCCTAGACTCTGGGTGGAGGAAGGAGGAGGGAGGAGCCCAGGAGCTGGCTGGGGGATTGAGCGGCAGGTAACAAGCCCCAGCTTCCGCTGCAGCTGGCTTGGAGTGGACAGGGCCTGGGAAGACCATCTGTGTACCCTCTACCACCAGACATATGGGGACACTATCCCAGAGAGAAACAAGGACTTCCTTCAGGCCCCCTGGCTTGTCACTGTGCCAGAGGCCAACCCGAGGGCACAGGGAGGGTTCGTCGCCTCCCCCAGCGTCAAACAGGAAGCTCATCCAGGTGGCCTTGAGCACATGCAGCCATGATGCCAGCTTCACACACAGACGCGCAGCCACTGGGCCCTCTGCTGGGTATCAGGGGATCACCCGAGGCAGCCATGGCATTGGGCTCCTGGCCAGACCTGTTTGGGTTTCAGGGCTTCTGGGAAGATGTCACCAGCTTTGCTGCTGATGAAACTTGAGCTTGGGGTTGCAAATGCAGCTTGAGCCAAACCCCTGAAGGTACAGCTCTGCACCATCCTGGAAGAGGGGGCAGGCAGGGAAGAAGACGGGTTCTACACACCCTAGGCCTCAGCAAGGGGTCCCTGGGGGAATCTGGAGGCAGAGGCTGGGAAACTTGGGAGCCGTTATCGTTGGGTTCATCATTTCTAGGTGTCGCTCCATAGGAATCTCTGGGAGGGGCAAAACTTGGTCTTGTTCATCCTGGCATTGCCAGTGTCTGCCCCAATGTCTACCTGCAATCCTAGCACTTGCAAGTTCAAGGCCAGTCTGGGATACATAGGGGGAACTTTTCTAAATCCTTCTTATATATGAAACTCTAGTTGGGCAGGGTGCCACAAGCCTGTAATCCTAGCACTGGGAGGCTAAGTCAGGAGATGGCCCCGAGTTCCAGTTTAACCTCATCTGTGCAGTCACATTAAAAGCACCATGATCTTACAGTGAGACTGGTGTCTCAAAAAACACAAAAAATACGGGGCTGGGGATTTAGCTCAGTGGCATAAGCGCCTGCCTTGCAAGCAGGCAGTCGTGAGTTCGATCCCTGGTACCGATAAAAACGAAAAAGACAAAAAAAAAAAAAAAAAAAAAAAAAAAGTACAAAAAAATAAACTAAATTGCATCATGGTGGAGGGAAAATGAATAAGATATTCTCCAGCAAGGTTAATGTTCTTCATTGTCTCTACTTTAAGAATTAACCGGCTGTGACGGTACACGACTGTATTCCCAGCACACAGGTCAAGGCAGGATCATAGTGCAAGACCAGCCTAGGCTACAAGGTGAGCTCAAGGCCAGCCCAAATTGCATAGCAAGACACTGTGTCAAAAATACCACTGCTCAAAAAAAGATGGGCGCTCAAAAAAAGATGGGCTGGGGATTTAGCTCAGCAGCATAAACGCCTGCCTTGCAAGTGCGCGGTTGTGAGTTCGATCCCTGGTACCGATTTAAAAAAAAAAAAGAAAGAATGAAAGGAAGGAAAAGAACAAAAGAGAGAAATTCTGTTTCTGTGCTGGGCATGATTGCCCACACCTGTAATCCTGGCACTTGCCCAGAGTTCAAAGCTAGGCAGTATATCCAGGGCCAGCTTGAACTACATAGTGAGACCTTGTTTGAAAAAACCAAAAATAATAAAGAAAATGAAAGAGATAGAAAAATCCAGAGTGCACTGCAGCACGGACACTCTCTCCTGCTGTCTACTTAAGCACATAAGTTCTCTCCCAAGGGAAATAGTGGCTAAGGAGCTAGAAGTCATCCTAATGCTGGTGTCCCAGGTCCAGGTTCCACAAAAGCCTTCTGGGTTCTCGCCATGGAGCCTTGTTGAGGACTCTTGGTGAGGACCTTGAGAGCATTCCTCAAAGGAATCCTCCCAGCCTTGCAGCCTCCATCAGAGGTTGTGCTTTGCAGAGGCACCTGGACCCAAGGTCCACTCTCAGCCACTTCCACAAGCTGGCTGGACAGTGACTGAGGAGCACAGACACAGGAGCAGATCATGGAAAGGTTGGCACAGGGACAATTATATACCATCTGGCAGAACAGCCCAGAGCTCAAGTGCCAAGGTGTGAGACAGAATCACAACTATCAGCGAGCTTGTTATTTCTTGCTCTGCCCATGTGTGAGAAGTAACCCAAAGATTCCCCCTGGAGAGCCAGTTGCAGCCATGGGAAATCTGAACCTTTTTCTTCTTTGAGCTTTTCTTTGGTTGAAATAAGAATTCATCAAAGCTCATGGCTGGACCTCTGTTGGCTGAAGCAGCTTTATTTCTTGGGACTGTGAACTCCAGGAGTTTGTCAGTCCCAAGCAGCAGGACACATGACCCACTCCTTGTGGCTCTCACCAGCTTATCTTCTGCTAAAGATCTCTTTTTTGGCAGGTTGTAAGGTGCTTTCATATAGTTTGTATGTATCTGAAGAGGTAATCGGCTTTCACTTCAGAATGTGTTTCTTTTTATTTTAAAGGGAGTAGAATTAAACACAACATAACAGAACAAAATAGGACATAAGAAAACAATGCAAGAGATATATATTTCAAAGATAGACAACCTGAGATCTTCACTATCTATCATATTGTCTCTTGTTTTCTTCCAAATAGTTGTCCATGTCTTTGCATACAGAGAATTCATACAAAACAACATAGTATAAAACTGATCTGAACAGAACAAGGAAGGAGTTTCAGGTCTTCAAAACCAGACAATAGGGAAGTCACTAATGGCTGTTGTAGAATCTCTCGTTTCTTCAAAATAGCTGTCCATACTTTCATGTACATTGAAGTTCAATAAAACAAAACAGGCAGAGGGGGAGGGGTTGCTTGGTTTCCTGGCGTTCCAGGTCCCAGCATGGCTCGGGTCACAGTAAACGCTGGAGGCTCCCATCCTGGGCCACCGGAGCCTGCCACACTCACAGACGCTCACCAGGAGGGGAGGGGTTGCTTAAAGCTGTTTCTTTTTAATGAATTGACCATTTCACTGCCCAAGTTCTGAAATGGCCAACAGAGCATAGAAAGACATCTCCTTAGGCTCCTGCTTGAAACCAACAGCATCAGGAAGCTTCTGGCTTTGATTCAGGGCCAGGAATGTGTGATTCTTGCTTTGGTAACATGAATGGAAGCTTCTGAACTGCACCAGAAATTCATTCAAGATGCCTTGAAGTATTAAGTCTGTCCTTAATAAACCTGTCCCAGGTGATAGATTGGTTTTTGTTCACAGGAGTCAGTGTTGGAGAATGCCTAGATCATTCTCAGGAACAGATGTGAGCTGGAGATTATGGCTGTGATGTTCACTGTGCCGCTGACAGGACCCGTGGCCTTTGTTTTCCAAACCAGGATTGAACTTGGACAAAACAGCAAAGGGTAAGAGACTCACAGAGGTAGGGAACACGTGGGGGCAGCTGTCCTGTGTGCTTTCTCACTCTGATGGCCTTTGTTCCACTACCTGTCCTGTGCCGGTCCTGTGCTCCCAGCCTGCCCGCAGCGCTGTTCCAGTTTACGCTCACCTGCCTGCATGGGGATCTGTGTTTAGGCCCCAGGCCAGGCTCTAGACCATGGCTGGGGCTGTGGCCGGCAGAGGGAACGGCAGCTGCCTCCCCAGCACAGCTCAGCCCGAGGAACCTTCCTGGCCCTGGTCCAGCTCCGAGGCTCGTCCATCCACTCAGTGCTCAGCTCAGTGCCGATCTGGAACTGCTTTTGGTGCAGGGCTGCTCAGCTCCCTGCTGGCACTCAGCTTTTCCTGCTCGTGTGTGTTCAGTGCTTCCTGTGGCTCTGGGATGGTTTGAGGTGCTACAGTGGAAACACACAACCCAGATTTAAGGAAATGTGGATACTTGGGGATAAAAAGCAGCATTCGAATACACTTTGTTAGAAACACCAGAGTAAAACTAGTCTTCCTTTTGGTTTTGATTTTGAAATAGTAAGAAAAAGCATCTCCTTTTCTTTCAATATTCAAAGCAGAAGAGAAAGGACAGAGCTAAGTAGAGGAAGCAGCATTTTCATGTAACTGTAGCAGATTTTTTAAAAATCAAAAATGACCTGTCTTACTGTCCAGGTCATTCCTACTGACTTTTCTTCCCCTGGTGCTGGGGATCCAACCTAGAACCTCATGCATACTAAGCAAGTGCTCTTCTGAGGTACACCTCCAGCCCCTATTGATTTTTTCCCCCAGCCTTGGGAACTAGGGCCTACATAGTGAGCTACATTCCCAGCCTGTTTTGTTTTGAAACAGGGTCTCTCTAAGTCACTAAATTGACCAGTTAGGCTCGAAATTGAGATCCTTTGCTTGAGCCTCTCAAGTAGCTAGGAATATAAGTGACACCATCTGCTGCTCCTTTACAATTTTTATCATCATTATTTGTGTTTTGACAGAATCTCACTGAATAGTCCAGGCTGGCCCTGAACTCACTATTACTGTAAACCCAAATATTGAGTTCAGTCACCCAAGGATTGTAATCCTCTTTCTAGTTTTCTTCACAATCCAAAAGGCTATATTTATAATCCCATCAAGATGTCACTGGAATCCCAGCAGGTTAATTGCAATCTACCATCACTAGTGCAATCCACGGCAAGAGTAAAGACACCAAGACAAATTCCAAGTTAAAGGCAGCCAAGGGGTCCTAAGTCCAATCCTCGCGAAGACATGAGGACAAAGGCCTGGATCTTAGGCCTCTCCCAGTATTTATTATCTTGTGAATAAAGAGGGGTGACTCAGGAATGAGTGATAGTGAGGATGTCAGGGATTACTGAGTAACTTGAGCTGGCTGGCCAGGTCTAAGAATAGCATTTCTGTAATTTGCAGAAATAAAGATATCCAGAAGGACAATTTACAATTGTCCTTCCAATTAAGGTAGTAGTAGGATTGTTTTGGGGGGCTATCACTTTGGTTTCTGATATGCCAACTCCTGTGCACTGGGTAGTCATAGCCTATCTCAAGGCTCATATCCAATTGACATTCCCAGAGCTATTTGCTCTAACATCTTGCAAGCTCAATCCTGTATTGTGGAGAGCACCATGCGAGGAAACAGGACTGTATGATGGCTATCGACTTTGCACATTAGCACCTCGGCTAGCCTTATTTGCAATGCTCAGAGCCAATTGAAGAGAGAAGGAAATACCCTGGCCAGCCTTTTACACCTCAGTATAAGGAAATCAGTCTCCAAGTAATCAAAGTCACAGTAATTGTTCTGGATTCAAAGGGAGTCACTGGAGTTGTCTCCCACATCTATACACCCCAGGTTAGCCTCAAACTTGAGGTGATCCTCTTGGGTCAGCCTCTCGAGTGCAGGGATTGAAGACATGTGCCACCATACCCACTTTATATTAAATTGAAACAAAAATAATTATATATGCACATGGTAGTGAGGTTTTAAAATTATGTGTTTGCTCCCTTGAACCTTTTTATGAAACATTTGCCAGGTCTCCAAAATAAATAGTGAAGAGGTGCTAAAATAGAAGAGAAAAAGTAAAAAGTCTATTTACATCTACTCTACTGTCCTTTCTACTTCCCTCCAAGTCTTTCATGATAAAAAAAAAAAAATAGCAAGTATCACTGGATGTGATCGTGCATGCCTATAATCCCAGCATTCATTCAGGAGGCTGAGGCAGGAGGACTGCCATGAATGCAAGGCCAGCCAGGGTTCAAGGCCAGTCTGAACTACATAGTAAGACCCAATATATGAAACAAAATAGGGTTAAAAACTACCATACTTTGAACTGGTATGTAGTGGTGCACACTTGTACTCTGAGCACTGAGGAGGCTGAGGCAGAAGGATCACAAGTCTTAATTCTAGCCTAGACTAGTCATCTCATGTGGGGGATGAGGTGTCACTTTGTAGGCCCAACCCCCTCTAACCTGCAATTTACAATAGCCGCCCTGGTATGCGAGAAGGAGGTAGAATAGGAATGCCTGTTCTCAGTGAGCCCCTCACCCTCTGGAATCCATACTGTGAGCTGGCTTTGTTTTGCAGAAGTCTTGAGGAAGTGGCTGGCCACCCTTTGTGACACTAACAGCAGACAAATTAACAACATTCTTGAGCTAATGAATTTCTTCCTGGGCTAGAGAAGTTATGAGAACTGGTTGTGATTATTTACTTCACTTAGATAGCTTTAGAATAAACATTGTAGTCTGTCACGTTGTAGCTTGCCACAAAGATTGCCTTTTCACTACTTAATTATCTGGGCTCTGTGAACTGATCGGGTTTACTATATATGAATCCTAAAATAAAGATTGTGCGTGCAGTGCAGTGTAACGCGGTGCAGACAGTAAAGGTGTCTCTCCTGTCTTTCTTTTCCGAGCACTGTACCCCCCGTGTCCCGATCAGGCGTGTGTGCGTGTTTACCTTGCCCGGAGTTCAGAGTGCTCTAAGACACTCACGACAATCTCATAAGACCATGTTGCAAAATAAAAAATAACAAGGGGTCGGGGTGGTGCACACCTGTAATCCCAGCACTCGATAAACTGAGTCAGGATTGCCATGAACTCAAGGTCAGTTTGGGCTTCATGTAAGTTCAATGCCAGCCTGAACTACATAGCAAGATCCTGTCTCAGAAAAAGAGGGGTGGGGTACATTGAGGATGTAGCTCAGTTCAATTGCCAGTACAGGAAAGAAAAAGAAGGAGAAGGAGGAGGAAGAGGAGGAAAAGTAGATGAAGAAGAAATAATAATGAAAGGAAGCAAGGAAAAGATCCTCAGAGGCACATGAGAACTTGTCAAAATCCAGGTAGTAGTCATCCACCAACTCTGGATGATTGACAGCTGCAGGATTATCAAATTAGCTGTAGTGGAAGGAGAGTTGAACAAATGAAATACCTGTAAAGTGCCAGAACTTTGATTCACTGGATTAGGGGCCCTGTCCAAAAAAAGGCATTATTTACAAGAAAACTACATTTTCTATACATGAGTGCATGTGAGACAGAGGTCTTTCAAATAATAGAACACAAAACAGAAATGAGTGGATGGCCCACCTGAGGACTGTTGCCAGCATAAAAAGGAGACCTGGTGAGGAAGTGTAGCATTGTGGGTTCTCTTAAGGGTATTGTTGTTTGGGGCTGTTGGTTCTCCTGGAGGAGCTTGTCATGCTGGCTCTCCTGACACAAGCTTAGCTGTTACCATTGGAAGAGCTCGGGACCTTGCTGCTGAGGATGACTGTAATTCACTTTGGGGAGCTTTGGTCCTTACTTTGAGCATTACTTCCTGGCTCTAAAGGGGAACATGTGTGCTATTTACTCTCCAAGAAAAGTTTGTCACGATGCCTTCCTGAGAGGGACTCAGCTGTTCTCATTGTTGGAGGAGCTCAGGACCTCATTTTGATGAGGATGGCTGTGGTACTCTCCAGGGGAGCCCTGGTCCTTATTGTGAGCGTCACTTCTTGGCTCCAGCACAGATCCTTCACCCCACTGGCACAGACTTTCTAGTTTCCACCACTGACCTTTGGGCCTGCCCAGCAAAGATCTGTGAAATAGACTTGCATGAGTCATTGTTGTGGGCTGTAGGTTTTCAGGGGCACTCACGCACATTATTGCCACGGAATCCAAGCCCTCGGCTGGATTTTCTAATCTTTAGTGTTGTGGACAGATTTCCTGAACTTTCTTTTGACTCCACGGGTGACCATTATAGATAATATAAATTCTGTGTCCTGTATAGACTTGTTTTCCTTGCAACCCCTGGCTACAACACCAGAGATGCTACTGCAGTTTGGATATGGATTCCTCTCTAAGAGTCCATGTGTTGGAAGCTTGGACCCCAGTGTGGTAGGTCATCAGGTCACGGGGGAAGCTGCTTTCACTTAAGATTGATACTGCTCTCCTGGAAGGAGTTATTCTCAAGAGAATGAGTTAGAAAAAGAATGAGTGGACCCCTCCCTGGTCTCATTTCTTATCTCAGTGTCTGATCTTTCATGCTGAACAAACTTCTGCCATTGTGTACTAATTGCCAGGGTGTTCTTACCAAAGCCAAGCCAATGGTAGCACCACGCCGCTACGCCTCCAAAACTGTGACTCAAATAAGCCTCTTTCTTTTTAAAGTACTTAGGTTCAGGTATTTTGCTATAGTCAGAGAAAACAAACTAATACAAGAGGTTTGGGTAAAAAGGAAATAGTCAAGGAAAGGTTGAATGAAATATTTTAGGAAAGTACCTGCAGATGGCGGCACAACCCTGACATCTCAGACTTCAAAAGGCTGATACCGAGCGGTGTCTCCTGAGATCCACGCCATGTAGGAACTTAGGACTCTGGGAAGCCAAGCCAGCACCTCCCCTCCCTGGTAAGCAGCAGTAGTGTGGCCCACTGCAGCCCTTCCAGGGGGAGAACCAGCAGTGTCTGCTGAGATCCACGCCATGTTGGAACTGAGGACGCTGTGAAAACAAATGACCATCCTGCCTCCCTGCTTAGCAATAGTGAACCTACTGCTATATGGCCTAGAGTCAAATATCCCACTTCCTCTATCCTCCTTCTCCTCCCCTTCCCCGAAAATAAAATAATAATAAATGTAACTCCCTTAAAAAAAAAAAAAAAAAAAAGAGGCTGATACCAAAAAAAAAGCTATTATGTAACTGGCCAGTAAAGTATAACACATTCAAACATAGCAAAATCACTTTTTTACTGCCTATACTCCAACCATATGGCTATTAGTCACAGAAAACTACAGGTTTTATGGTTTTTGTACTTTTCTTTTAGTCTCCATAGCTGGTCTGTACTTCAATAGCAGCCACTTTCCTTTTTTGGCTTGTTGTCTTAATATTTATGTATCCAATACTGTTAACTGAAAAATGTTTTTTATTATGCTGTATTTTCTTATTTTTAATTGTATTTTCAATTAAAAGTGTATAACATAGTTACATTGCTAGTCTTGTAAAAGCTATACTATTTTCTTTGTTTTTTGTCTTTTTCCTTTTTATCGGTACCAGGGATCAAACTCACGACTGCCTGCTTGCAAGGCAGGCGCTTATGCTGCTGAGCTAAATCCCCAGCCCCAGCTATACTATTTTCTTAAATATATACCTAACTGCAGTAGTTCACCCACTTGAAAAATTTGCAATTGTTTCCAGGTGTAGTGGTGCATGTTTGTAATCCCAGCACTCAGGAGGCTGAGGCAGGATTGCTACAGAGATTGAGGTCAGCCTGGACTGCAGAGTTCAGGCCAGCCTGAGCTGCATAGCGAAACACTATCTCAGAAAGTAAAAAAAAAAAAAAAAAAGAATTGTTCATCTGTTTTTATTTTTTTGGTCTTTTTGAGACTGGGTCTCATTATGCAGTTCAGGCTGGCCTTGGGCTCACTTTGTAGCCCAGGCTGGTCTTGAATTTGCAACAATCTTCAGCCTCCTGAGCGCTAGGATTACAGGAGTGCACCACCATGGCTATCTCACACTTTTTACGAAACTTTTTTTTTTCGTTAAAAAAAAAGGTAATTAAAATATCTCCAATCATTCCATGGAACACTAAGCAGCTTTGTTAAAAAAAAAAAGAAAAAAGAAAAAAGTAGGCCTATGAATGCCAAGAAATTCCTATTAAAACAGGAGTTAAGGTACAGATCAAAAGGTGTTATGAGCCACAGCTGGGCATGGTGGCTCATGCCTGTAATCCCAGCACTTGGGAGGCTGAAGTGGGAGGATCGTTGCGAATTCCAGACTAGCCTGGGCTACAAAGTGAGCTCGAGGCCAGCCTGAACTGCATAGCGAGATCCTGTCTCAAAAGACAAAAAAAAAGTGTTATGACCTCATCTGATGAAATACACAAAAGCATATATAACCTGATATACCCACAAGTAATATATGGAAAGTTATCAAAATATACTAGAATAAGCCAGGCGTGGTGGCTCACGCCTGTAATCCCTGCACTGGGGAGGTTGAAGCAGGAGGATCATTGAGAGTTCGAGACCAGCCTGGGCCACAAAGTGAGTTCAAGGCCAGCCTGAACTGCAGAGAGACCTTGTCTTAAAAAGATACACACACACACACTATATATATATATATATATATATATACACACACACACACATACACTAGCATTTGCTTTAATGAGCAGTAACACAAGAAAAGGGAAAAGTTTTTCACTGTACTTTTGTGTATCATTTGTTATTAAAAAAATTATTTTTTTTGGTACCAAGGGGTTAAATTCACGCCCTTGTGCTTACCAGGCAAGCACTTGAGCCACTGAGCTAAATCTCTGCCCTGTTTTCAACTATAAATATGTACTACTTTCATAACACAGGAGTTAGAAAACGTTTCAGATTTTTCTCTCCCGCCCAAAACCTGAGTTTAAAAAAAAATCCCTAATTCATTTAGGAAAACATCCCTTTTAAAATTCTAGTTCCATGGTCTCCCCTACCCTGCCTTCTAGGAATGGTATCAGTTTTCGGCAGACCAACTGTCCTAAAGCTAATCTGAAAGGCAGCTCCACAGCTGATCTATAAATTCTGATCGCATAAATTCTGTCTTAGAGGCCACGTGTCGAACATATAGCTCACCCTCGCCAGTTACAAATCTCCACGGCGCACTGGCAGTGCTGAACTTGAGGCATCCTCAATACGGTCCCCTCAGCCATTCACATTAAACTCCGGCTACAGCTGTTGCCCCAGCTGTCGCCATAAACCGCAGCAGCCGCCAACAGTTGTTGAATTTTAAAGACTAGCTACCCAGGTTTTCCTCAACGAATCCTCCCAATAACCCATGTGCAGACAAAGTCTTCTTCATTCACGGATGTGAAAACCTAGACCCGCGGAGGTTAGGATCTGCTAAAGAGCACAGAACCAGAAGGCAGAGCGCTTTAGATTACCTGGACCTAGTAATCTTCGGCATCTGGGCGGGAGCAGAGCCCGATCCCTCCCACTTTAGGGGCGCGGCTCAGAGGATGGAGGCCGGGCTCAGCAATGGGTTCCGGGACTCCAGATAGAAATCTCCACCTGGGGAGAAAGAGCTGAAGTGTGAGCTAAAACTACCTCTGCCCGAGAAGCCTCAAATCTCAAGATTAGGGCCTGCCTGCTCCTGGGGCTGCAGCCACTGAGGCCGCCCACTCCCAACGGACCGGGCCCGAGGTGGTAAAGAAGGGAAGGGAGCGTCCACCGGTGTAGATGCCTTCTAGGAGGGCTGCGGCACAGGGGGTACGCGGGCTGATCAAGCACGTAACTCGATCCCCGCCTCACTCCACGCGAGTTCCGGAAAGGGATACCAGCTCACTGGCGCGGAATTTTGTAGCGCGCTACCGGAACCGGAAGTAGACCCCGCCCGGAAGCTGGCAGTGGGCGAAATTAGAGGTTTGGTCTCTCTAGGCTTTGGCGGTGCACTGCAGCTTCATGGTTTTAACCTTGCACAGGGTCGTCATAGGTCCTTAAGCCTTCTTCCTTCGCGGAACTCGGGAATCCTTTCACTTTCTAAACTGAGTTTGCCCAGTTGGAAAAGGAAAAAGAAAAGAGCAGGAACTGAGATGCTGCCTGAGCCAGACTGCCTGCAGTTGAGCCAGCGCCCCACCCACCCTGAGGTTAAGCCCTGGGGCCTTTGTACCTCCCGAAGGAGAGAACTCGCAAGAGAGCTGTCTGGCTGTTACTTGGAGCCAGTGATCTTGTAGGGTGCCGGGTGGAATCATTCCAGATGAGGCATAGGATTGTCTATTAACCAGGCCCTGCCTTAGTCTACCCAAGCAGTGGGCATGTGTCCTGGGGATTTGAACTAGTCTGCCCAGGAATGAGCTTTGTATAGGAACCTAAATCCTCACCCTGTATGCCTCTTCCTCGAGTCTTCCCTATTGGTGACATACGAGGGTGCTCGGTAGCCTGATGATTAAAAACCAAAACTTTTAAGTCACACCGATCTGGTCGAGTGAGCATGCAGATTACAGGGCACAGACAGTAAGAGGAAGCACAGAGATGCTAAGAAGTCTGCTCGCTTTGCTCTTTAGTAAGAGGAAGAAACTTAGCTTATAGAGAGAGGCTCACAGTTGACTTATTCCTGTCTCCTCTCTGCCCTATACAAATGGGCTAGGCTGGGGACTAAGAGGGACACCTCACACCTCAGCCCGGCGTACTGAGTTGTCACTGTAGAGCTAACATCTTTGAGGAAGAGAATATGTATTTTTTGTCCACACTGCCCTGCTGGGCACTTGTCTCCCAGATGGCCAGGTATTCCAACTGGTGATTCAAGAACCAGGAAGCTGGGCCAGGGATATAGCCCAGAAGCATAGCTCCTCCCTGGCAAACACAAGGTCATGAGTTTGATCCCCTGTACCAGGAAGGAAAAAAAAAAAAGGAAACCTTTGCTTTGGCTTCATCCCTACCTATCAAAGCAACAGGGTGGGCCCTTGCGCAGCCTCTGTTACCCTCATGCTTCCACCTTTCAGCTCCTCTCCCAGCTTTGGTTTCCCTACTTATAAAATGAGAGGGTTAAAAAAAAAAAAAGAGAGAGAGAGAGTGTAGACTAGATCCAGGGCTTCCAGCTGTCTTCCAAGTTCCAGCATGCTTCAGAAAACTGCAGGAGATGAAAAGATGTCACTTCTGGTTCCAAAGCCTCTGTAAAATCACTGAGAGTTCAAAGTCAGCCTAAACTACACACAGCCTGTTCCAAAAATAAATAGATATATAAATAAAAAAGGAACTGGGAATATAGCTTAGTGCAAATCTTCAGCACCAACAAACTCTTCCAAATCCATATATATGGAATATATATATGTATATATAAAATATGACATACATATATGATATGTTGGGGCTCTGTAAGATTATTTTACCAAGATAATACTCAAACTGTCTTCCCCTCCCCTGCCATTTCTCTATCTCCTGCTCGCTCACTCTGCTCAGAGCCTACAGGCTATCTTGTTGTTTTGCAAATCCAAAGAACTCATCTTTACCACATTTGCTGATAACCACTTTTAGTGAAGGCATTTGTTTCTCCCTGAGGCCTTTTCACTGATTCCAAATCAAGTGTAACTTCTCCAGAGCATATTTCACCACTCCCTGTCAACCTGCCCTGGAGACATGCATCTAATCTCTTTATGGTTTGTTGACATTTTTAAAAAATTGTAACCGCAGGGGGTGGTGGTGCATGTCTATAATCCCAGAACTCAGGAGGCTGAGGCAGGAGGATTGCTGCAAATTTGAGGCCAGCCTGGGCTGCGGAGTGAGTTCAAATCTAGTCTGAACTACATAGTAAGATTTTGTCTCTAAACGAAATAAAATAAAATTACAACCATGTGCTACTTGGTCAACAATGGCCTACATATGGAACAGTGGTCTCACAAGGTTCCATTGCTTCCCCAGTACCAAAAAAATTATATTACCTAGTGACATCACAGCCACCCGAGTTTGTACATAGAAATAGAGCATAGGGGGCTGGGGATTTAGCTCAGCGACATAAGCACCTGCCTTGCAAGCAGGCGGTCGTGAGTTCAATCCCTGGTACCGATAAAAAAGAAAAAGACAAAAAAAAAAAAAAAAAAAGAAATAGAGCGTAGGATGTTCTAGCAATGACAGAATCACTTAACGATACATTGCTCAGATATCATCCAGAGTAGTTAAGTATGATCGCACTATTATTTCTAGCTCATCCACTAGAGGCAGGGTCTACAGAGCCAAGGACCTGTCTCTCCTCATCCATCACCAGCATTTAAACCACAGGCTGTGTAGACATTTGTCAAATCAATGAATGAATGAAACAGAGACAGTTTGAATTTTATTATAAAGCCAATCTGATAAAGATCACCTGGAAGAGCTGTGATTTAACAAAGCTGAGTCTGCAGGGAGGCGATCAGCACCCCAAGGACACTGCAGAGTGTGTTCCCCAGGGAAAAAACAAGGTTGGCATAGGGCTTGGGTAGGGTGGGATGGAGGTAAAATTGGAAAGGAGCAGTGTTGATGGGCCAAAAATAAATACAGCTGTGTGTAAAGAGGGTAACATCTGGCTCAGGCAAAAAAATCAGACTCATGGTTCGGTTTCCTTAGACACCACAAAGTTAAAATAGACAGTTGTGTTTAAAAAGAAAAACAAACAACTTCGCTGAAGCTCTGCAGCTGCGCTGGAAATGCAGGCTGCTTCTCTGTGTCTGATCTGCCTCCAACCCACTAGACAAGAGCGGGAAGTTCTGTTCTCACTGATGTGATTCCAAACAGCAAAGTTTTTGACAGTCTCTGATTTTAGAGAACAAGGCTTCTCAGCAACATCATTTCGGTGTCAATTGACAAAAGGTCGTTTGACAGGTTCACCTTTGTCTGTAACCCCTGGATGTTTCTGTCATCTGGATAAAAGGGTCACTGAGACCTCCAGTCTCCCTGCTCCCATGTGAACCCAGCTCCCTGTGGGACTCCTTTATAACCCGAAGCCAAGGCACAGTCCCTACTTAGGATGGAGGAATCTAGCTGGATTGTGGACTCTGTCAAGTTTGTATCATGCTCTTCCTTCCCCAAGCTTGACACAGAATATCAGGCAGTGTTCAGCCCACGTCCACTGAATCTACTTGTTGGTAAATTTTATAAATGCGAGAAAAATAAGTGGAAGGAATCAACAAAAGGATAGCATTTGTGTAAGAGATGTGAGAAGTGGGAGATTTTTTTAAAAAATAAATTTCTCAAAATGTCTTTAAAGTATGACTAATATTTTCAGGCGTGGTAATTCATGGCTGTAATTCCAGCACTCAGGAGGCTGAGGCAGGAGGATTGTCACAAGTTCAAGGTCAGCCTGAGCTACATATGGAGACCTTGTCTCTAAAAAGAAAAAAGGAGTTTGTTAACGTGTAACTAAAAACAAAGTATCCCAACACTCATCCTTTCTTTTCTTCTTTTTTATTTTTATGCAGTACTGGGATTGGATTTAGGAAGCATTGTGCTGTATCCCCAGCTCTGTTTGTTGTTTCTGGAGACATAGTCATGGTATTTAGTTCAGACTGGTCCCAAACCCACGATGATCCTCCTGCCTCAGCCTTTCGAGTGCTGGCCTTACAGTCACATCCCTCCTCACCCAGCAGCCTCCACATTCTTGAACCAGCAGCGCCTCCCAGCAGCATGTGGTACCAACTCCTTGCCAAGGATGTGAATTTAGAGATAAGACTATCACCCTGTACAAACCCAGGAAAGGAGGAAGCTGTGGTCCGTTTCCATTTTATTTGGTCCTAGTCTGTGACCTTGCCACAAGGTCATAATAGCTGACCAATATTTCCAAGGGCTCTAGCAGGAATTAGGAGTGAAGAATTCCCCCCACCTAGTGTCACCCACTGGCTGGTACCTGTGCCAGCTATGCAGCCAGTTGGCACTACATAGAGCATTGTCATTTTTTTACTCCATCCGGATCCCTATGCTAAAGCACTCTAAAAATTCGCAGTCCTGATAGTGATGTGAGAGAAGAAATATCTATATTACATTTCTGAATTTTCTGCATGTTACTGAAAAATGTTTGCGGCTGCTGGTGAAAACCAGTGTTGGGACCATGGGTAATCTGAGAGTCCTAGCAACTGGCTGGTGCCATGGAAAAGAACATGTCATCTGTTGGACAGTAACTCCCTGAGCAGTGTGAGTGGGTGCCAAGCTGTGGCTGCTGAAGAGGAGGCCAGCTCTAAGGGATGTGGGGACCACGAGGAGTCCTCCATGATGGGGGTGGTGGCTGGAGAATTTGAGCGAGCTGGCCTTTCCAGGAGAACTGCATGCTGTCACCTTCCATAGGCAGCTGTGTAGAGGGCACTTGACAATGACTTGACTATTTTGCTGGGCATTTTCTTTCCACCCACTGCCATGCATTTATTGAACTTTTTCCCTCAGCCCGGAATGCCCGTCCTCTTAACCTCCCCCAGTCTCTAGCAGCCTACTCCTATTCATTTTTAAAAAGCTGGAATTTCACTCATGATGATGTCCAGGCTGGCCTCAAATTACTGGACTTAAATGATCCTCCTGTCTTAACCTCCCTAGTGGCTGGGTCTCTAAGCACATAGCTCATTGTCCAGCTAAGAATTCTTTTCCCACCCCATACTGGGGTTAAAACCCAGGGCTTTGTGCATGCGGGGCCAGGGCTCTACCACTGAGCTATACGACTACATACCAACCTTTTGTGTATGTGGTCACCTTCAAGAGACCTTCGATTTCTGCTGTGAACCAGCATTTGAAACCTTCTTCTGTGCACATCTTTAACATGTCAACTTTAGTTTTCTCTGTCCCTGTTCACCCGGCAAATGAGTACTATATACCCAAAGCCCCATGCTCTGTTCTAATACCACCCTGCAGTCCACATCTAGTTTGTGTC